GGGGGGGGGGGGGGGGGCGTTGTTGGGGTGGGTGGGGAGGAGGGGGCAGGATCCCGAGGAGGTGTTGGGGTGGGTGGGATCCCGTGAAGGCGTGCCTCCCCGGTGCATGCCGCTTCCGCCCCTCGCGCCGCGCCGCCGCTTGGTCGCCAGACCCCAGCCTCCGCCGAGCGCCAGCTTGACCTGGGGGTGTACATCTGTACCGCTCTGTGCGCAGGTGGAGGCGGAGGTGAAGACGCACCTGGGCACCTTTGTGGCGGATGTGCCCTCCGGCGCCTCCACCGGCGCCCACGAGGCTTGCGAGATGCGCGACGGCGGCGAGTGAGTGCAGCCGCTGCCCTGACGCGTGGGGACGGGCCCTGCCGGCGCATGCGCTTGGGTGCTACCAGGACGTGCCGTGCCGCTGCTCGCGGGGCGCACGCAGCCTTCCTTGGCCCGCTTGCTGGCCTCTGTGCACGCCTCGAGCCGCCGCGGCTGGCCCTCTCGCCGTCTCCCCCGCTCTCTCTCCCCCCAACCTCTCTTTCGCCCGCATCCTTGGACAAGCACGCAGCCCTCATCCCCGCCTGCCCCCGCCTCCCACGCCTGCCTCCCCTGTGCAGTGCCTACATGGGCAAGGGCGTGCTCACTGCTGTGAAGAACGTGAACGACATCATCGCCCCCGCCCTCATCGGCCTGGACCCCATCAAGCAGGTACGCTTTCCTCCTTCTTTCCTCCTTCCTTCCTATTCTTAGCGGTCGGGAGGTGGAGGGGGTGGCGGGAGCAGCCGCTGCTGCCCTGCTGGACCAGTACCGCGCTCAGCCGCCCCCCCGGCTGGCCCACAATGCGTGTTGGTGGTTCTGTGGCAGCGGCAGGCACTCGGCTCGGCTACGTGTGCATCCTTGCTGTCTGCTCCTCCTGCCTGCCTGCTGTCTCCTCAGACATACCCCGACGTCCCGCGCTGTCCCGCACCCAACCGAGAGCAGGAGGAGATTGACGGCAAGATGATTGAGCTGGACGGTACCGACAACAAGTCCAAGCTGGGCGCCAACGGCATCCTGGCCGTGTCGCTGGCGGTGGCGCGGGTGCGTGCCACGCGAGCGGCGCTGCGCGTCGGCGCGCGTCGGCGCGTGCGGCAGCCTTGCCTGGTGCCCCGGCGGCGGGCGGGGCGCGTGGGTGGGCATGCGGGGCGGAGGAGCCGGCCGCCAGCGCCGCCTGCCCTGCTCGCCGTTGGGCTGCCCACCCCACGCGTGGCCGAGCCCACCCCACGCGTGGCCCTGCCTCTCCCTTCCTGCAGGCTGGCGCCGCCCAGAAGGGCGTGCCGCTGTACAAGCACATTGCCGACCTGGCGGGCAACACCAAGCTCATCCTGCCCGTCCCCTCCTTCAACATCATCAACGGTGCGCGGGATCAGCGGAGAGGCCGCTGCCGCCTGGCCCAGCCTGCGGCAAGGCACATGAGCAGCTGGAGGCCAGCACGCGCCCCGCCCACACACACACAACCGCCTCGCCGCGCCG